TTTAAGGAACAGATCTTATGTGGATTTTTGGGATATAATTTATAATATTGATTTATTGTTGTTTTATGGAGATACTGTGTTGTGTTGTCAGAATCACTACGTTCCTTATTTCCCCAAAAGAAAATTTGTTTTTATTGGTGGCCTCATTGGAGAGAACAGCATATAAGACCTGTACTAACTAACCAGATTTCTTCCCATTAGGCTTCCCGACCAATACTCGGTGCACATCTCTTGCCCCATCCATCTTATTCTTCTTGACTTAATCACCCTGACAATATTGGGGGGAGGAATACATATATAAGACCTAAACTATTTTCTTAACAATGGATTCTCTAGAGGTCAAGGGGAAAAGCCCATATAAGCATGGGAGGGGACAGGACAAATGAGCTGCTCCTTGCTATAATTGTAATATAAATATAATATTTGATTATTATTTAGTTATTTAAAAAATAACATCATAATTATAAAAGTGTATAAACTGCAGACTGGTTTGAATACACAGTTTTCAAGTTGTGTTGGCATTTAAATGGCTGCTTGGACTGCCCATTTAATTTGTGATTTTTATAGCATTTATGCATGTTGTCTATTTGTATTAACTAAAAGAATCTTGTGGGGTCCACAAGGAAATTGCTTATAAGTTCAGAGACTTATTCTGATGTCCTCTGATGGTGACTACTTGAAATAAATGGTTATTTAAAGATGATAGTGTATGTGATGTTGGGCTTCTGGTAAATACAGTAACACAGCAGTATCCTTCAGCAAAGTAATGTATTTCAGAGTTCTAATTCATAAGTAATTTCAGAATGGAAAGAATGTTCGTTATGAAGCGCATGTCAAGTTTTGTGTACAGTGAAATTAACAAACAGATCCCGTGTGTGTTCAGTTTTGACTTTTAACTTATGAAATATCAATTAAAATGGCAAGCACTTACTTCAAAACAAGGAAAACTAAGAAGCCAATAGCAATCTTAAGAGAAAACAGATTGACAAGTGTGTGTTATATAATTTACTCTTTGTTCCTCCTGAGAATGCAATCAAATTAAAAGGGACTTGACCCATCTATCATTAAGTCTCCCCAATCAAACAAGCAGAGGGTTGATGGGAAAATCTTTTGTCTGGTCCCCAATGTTGCCCATACTTGAGACTTCATCTTTCTGAGCTTAAAAGTTTGTTTAACACTGCCCATAGCTAAATTTTAAAATGTTTAAGGTTGAGAAAATAACTGCAAGAGATTCTCTTATTGAAATGGTGTTCTAAATAACTTCATTAGATCTTCACTTAATGCTGGTATGAAACGTAATTGATGACCATTCATGGAAAACATTGTGTAGACAGGTAGAGACAGCTTCTAACAACATACTTAAAAATTGTATTTGATAATGATTGCTTTTAATCATTGCAAGTTAGCTCGTTGATACATGATTTGAATCTCTGGCTTGTACCAACTATCTTCAGTGAGGTTTTTCACACTTTTCCTTGGTCTATCCAAGTAAAAGTTGGAATGGTGTTAGAAACACACTCTGATAACACTAATATCTTTCCCTTTAAGTATGCTATCAGTTATGATATCCAGCTTCTAATCATAAACAGCCTACCAACTGTTAATGGTTTTCCTCAGTCCAGCCAGGCAAATGCCAGGATAGTGCCTTAAGCTTCCTTCGATATCCTTCCAATTCATCAATCGTTTTATCATTTATTGCTGTATGATGATAAACTTTAGTAGTAGATTGAACTATGGATAAGTCATTAAATAAACAAACATACACCTTCCTTCTAGAAAATCAAAATAAGGCATTTCATGTCACTAAATATAATGAAAGAGACCAAAGACTTTAGAGCAAGTGATACAAAGGGGTGGAATCTAGGTGTCAGACAATGTTGAAAAACGTTATACCCCCCCCCCCCATCTCTCTCTCTCTCTCTCTCTCTCTATATATATATATATATATTGAGGGTATGCCAGAAGGGTGTAATGCTGATGCTGCTTTACACATGGACACAGAGTTATATCTGGACTTACAAAGACAAATAATACATATTTGTCAAACCAAATAACCATAAGAATTTAGTCTCCTGTAAATCAGTCAAATTGTTTATATATCCTGGCATGATGCCCTCCATATTACTGTGGTTGGAAATGCAAGAATGCAATTATGTCCAATACTCTCTTTTCATAATTCCAAAACATAGATCTCGGAAGACTAATGTGTCATGAGAAGTGTACTTTTTGACTGTCTACAAGATTCAACTATGACAGTGGACAAGATAACTTAATCTGTGATTTTAGCTGTTATTAACACTGTTTGTATATCAGAAAAGTAAGCATAGATTTTGGAAGTCACAGTGCTACTGAGATGGCGCATACAATGAACATGGGGCAAAAAGACTACTCACACTTTCATTCCCATGAATTTTTAATTTTGATACACATGGAAGGAAACATGCTATGAATATTTCATACAGGGGAGAAGTAATGATTAGGAAGAGTGTTGGGATCTGAACAGAAATCAAAAAGAACTGTAGAGTTCAAATACTTTCCTTGACTGGAATTCTTATGCAGTGAAGTGAGTATGGAAATTCTTCATGATGGCCTACGTAGTCTGAGTACTCATTGCTCTGATGATGGAGGCAGAAACACCAATAAAAAACATCGATCAGTTTTTACCACACTACATGGAGCAACATCCCAGAAGACTAATCTTCAAAGTCAATGATGCTGAGTAAAGATAATGGCCAGAGCTCGAACCAGGTACCTCCCGAATTCAGCACTGTAAGGACCGTCCGTTTGAGCAACCTCAGTCACCTATAAAATTAGTCCAAACATTCCTACTTCAAAAACTCTTACATTTACCTTCCCTTGTGATGTGTCCGTGTTAAGCAGAACAGAGTTACACGAACTGTAGAACAAGTGGCCCGCGTGTCACAGTTCCACAACAGAGCAGACAACCAGAACTTCCTGTTGTCATTGGCCGTCACCCTCATCGTGTATTCTATATGAAGCCATTACAAAGAAGTCAGTGACGTCACCGTTTAAAAATATTTAATTGTAATAGACTTTTTTTTTCAAGGCGATGGATCAGAAACGTGTTCCGCAACACCGAACAAAGCGCCTGGTCGCTTCTGCATATCTACCTCACTCTCTAGACATACATCATACTGTTTTCATGAAATGCGTTGGGATTTCAATACCAGCAATTATCGGTGCCTACATAATCGATGGTTTAAATATACCCCGAAAAAATTCAAAACATCGACAAAACATATTTCACTCTTCGAGATGTACTCCTGCCCAGATTTGCAACATGTACAAAACGCTGGCTTCAGACCACTCCGTAAGACTTAAGGTTTTCACTGCGGTGAATACGAAGAAGACTGTCTTCTGAATTACAACCCAAATGTCAGAAGTCCTTGCAGCCTCCATAATCAGGAAGTCAGAAACGCTGGTAAACTACCGGACTACACGGCGCTACAACCCAAAGACAGCCATCTTCAGGCTACTTTGTACAAGGAAAGATAAATATAACTTTTTGAAGTCAGGAATATTTAGGCGCATGTCATAACCCTAAGAGGTTGGTGCTTGGACACATAGACTGATCTTGCATCTTCCGAGTACACCTCTTTGGCGTCACGAACATGAGAAAATAAATATTCAACATTTCGCCTTGCATGTGCTGCAACTTCTCCTACATCGGTGAGTGACAGTAGTGTACTCAGACCCACGATTTACATACTAACATCCATGGTCTTCAAATTGCCAAAGACTTAATATAATGTTCCATTCTTATTACACATGCATAAACTGATTTTAAAATTGTTGTCTTTCATCCTTGGATAAAAAGCTGTTCCCTATACTGAATGATTAGGACTACGATAAACGCTGTGGTCCATAGATCTAAAGCAGTTCGGTCTACTGTATCCAGCGGAATTGGTAACCCCTCTTCCAACCCTGCAGCACTCGAACGATCACTGCCATACTGGTTTATATGCTGAAGACCTCACCCCCAGGCAAACTTCGAAGATGGAGGACCTCCTATTTTCGGTCGTCCGCGATTGTTGAATGACACCTTAGCAACTATCCTCCGTATCTTTATGCCTCTCCTCTATTTACACAGCCTGGCGATGCGCCATGCAAATTATATAGCTTACCAATTCAAAGACTTATGAATGCAGATTTTGCTTTGATATCTGAAATTCGTTCAATACATTTTTTATTTAGGTCTAGAATCTGTACACCATAGACGCCACATTCAACACTCATAAGTGTGGCTATTTTGTTGTGGTGCCATCAAAAGTTCGGGCCGTGGTTTTTAACGCACCCTTAAGCACAGAAGGATAAGTTTTAAACACAATTTGACAACATCTCGAACCATTCTATGTGTACCTGTACAGTTCGCCAGTTATGGTCGTGGAATTTGGGTTACAGCCTGCTTTCCGTTTTAACAAGAGTTTGGCCTTTTTCGAATATTCTGGGCTCTACAATGAATTGTGTTAGTATTGCTCCTAAGTTTTCTTTGTTAAGAAATATCGAAAGGGCGGGAATTGCAACAGGAGATAAAGATAAAGAGATATTGGTTAATCGATTATATTATTTTATATGCTGTAGTAATTACTGATACCGAATTCGCGTGTTGAATTATCATAAACCATATTTCCGAGTGGGAGCATTTCGTATCCCATACCACTTAGAAGGGAGCATTTAACCCCAAGATTAGATCAGGGACCTTCCAAGTACACATTTGTGTATGCTGGAGGTGACAGACGAAGCTACGACGCGTCAGCAATTAAGAGGAAACAAAGGGGCGGGAGGGAGAGGAGACTTGAAGGGATATGCATAGGAAAACGGTGAAGAAATTCCCGTTAAGTTATAATAAACTGGAGGAGAAGATGAGATGAAGACGAAAGAGAAACAGCAAATAGAAGACTATAGAGAATTGGAGATGCTGCAGGAAAGTTACTTCACGGTGCTGTTATCAGACACTAATATTCTGACATTACGTTCTTCCAACGGTCTGACAGCGTATCTTCCTTTACCTGACAGACGGGGAATCCCAAAGTCATGACGTGTCTTTCCTACAGATGATAAATTTTATGACTAAACAGAAATACAAACGAGCACTTACATTGCTGCTTCACTGGTGCATAAGTACACGGTAGTGCGAAAAACGCTGATTTTGGGGGAATAAATGAAAACAAACCGAATGAACTGATACGAAAAGAAAGGAAGAAAAGACGGTGACAATGCAGAAGATAGTACATGTGCATAATAAATATACATAAACAAATAAGCGACGAGTAGGAGAGCGGCGAGTGGTGGGGGGAGCTGCGTGCGCCGCCTGGCTTGAGTCGACCATCGCCTTTGACTTCAGTGCAGCTCGATAGCCTAGTGAGAGTGGTCGTTTGAGACGTGCAGTGAATGATGGAGTTGAATCAAGACCCGCGGTGAACAGCAGCCCCAAGATGTGACGACAGGTGAGTAAGTCAGTAAGTGACTGCGAGGCTAATGGCGACCGTTGTCTGCAAAGCGACGACGGTTAGCTGTGCCCTGGGTTCGCGCCAGGCCCCCGCTGTATCGACCCTCTGCGGCCTTGCACCCCTACCCCCCCCCCCCCCCCTACGGTCTGGCGTGATTCTGTCTCATCTCTTTATTGCTTGCTTCTGTGTAATCGAATCAGTATCCCTTTATCTTTATACGGCCCTCTTCTGCTTCAGTGTGGCTGTTGGCATCTGGTTGTCAGTCTCGTCATGAGATGCTAGTACTTGTTCGAATCAGTCTTACAATGAGAATGCGTCTTTGCTGTCTCATATTGGCTGAAACATTTGTTTCAGTCTCGTTAACGCGAGATGCAGCGAGCATTCATTCCACTGAAACGTTATTATTTTAATACAAGTGCTGAAATCGTAATACAGTGCAGTTTCTCCTCATTATAACTAAATATATTATATTATCAAGAAATATAATTAAATCTTGTTACCATGACATAGAACTATTTCCCTTTCAGAAATTAATGAAGCAGTTATTAGTGTTCCATATTCTTTCTCGCTGTGGCTACATAACTGAGACATACTGAGATATAGTTGTTTAAATGTCCGTATTATGAGAGTCGGTATCGTTAGTTTAAAATACTATTTTTTCCCGATCGCGAGTGTAAATGTATTCAGGTAGGGATGGTTCAGCTGTTCACAAGATACAGGATTATATGAAGCTGAAGTGTGAATCAATTCCAGTATCTCACATTAACAATGCTGTTCTATCTTGTATGTATAGTTATCATAAACACACATAGTCTCATCGTGCACAAATGTCCTGTAATCGGAGTGCTTCTTTATCATTGCGAGACATACGAAGTTTAGGCTTTTAAACATTTCACTGCCTTGAGATAGGATCAAGTGACTCGAATTATAGTGCGCCATAGAGTGGGACTTCATTTAACGGCACACAACAGGAGAGTGTGTCTGTATCATTAATACAAGTAAGACACCTGTATTTCGATATGTAGCAGATACCTCGTCACCTTGAAAGAGGGTCGTTTCATTATCATGACCGATTGACGATTTTAAAGTCTATTCAGCAAAAGATGGCTGCCTTCTCAGTTGTCGCGCCGTGCAGTCTTGTCGAAGTTTGCCAACGTTTCAGTGATAATTGCTCTATCATCACCACTCTCATGAGGGTGGTGGTGATGGTAAATTTTTACCAGACTGCACGGTGAAACAACCTAGAAGGCAGCGATCTTCATACTCGCCGCCGTGAGAACGTGATATCTCACTCTATCAAGTTCTGCTTTTTATACAGTCAACAAAGAAAGGAAATCAAAATGAAACTTTAATCTTTCTGGATAGTGGCGTTTGCTTCACACCACATGCAGTCGCTAAGCAACCATGACTTAGTTTTCAGAGCCTCGTACGTGAAAACATGTTGCAAGCAGGAATTAAAACAGGAGAGATGTTACTTTGCGTATTATAGTCCTTTATTCTAAATTGCTACGATATTTAATCTCACTAAGACGTGAATCGATCTATCTAACAATGGAACGATTATTTATCCCACTCAGTTTCGTTATAGATATTTTGTGTTTCGAGATACGGTCGTTTCAGCTCCGTTAACAGAAGGCACGCCGAATTTAATCTCAGGACTGAAATCAACATTTTTATATACAACGGGGGCAAATAAATATTGTACCGTCTCACTTTCATGAATTCAAGCCTGCCTTTCTTCATTTCAAACAACTCGTCAATCACGATTACGAGGATAGCGTACGTTTATGCCCTGTTATTTATTCTATTTCTCACTCTTCCTTTAGGACCTGTATTAGGACAAGATTTTGTTTCACTGTAACGAGATTACGGTTTTTAATATCATACATTTTTCTGTCGAATCCCTAAACCACCTCCTCATCAGACATCGTTAAACATAACTGCACTTCGGACTTCCTGATAGTGACATTTATCTTCTGAAATAGGATGGTTGCCAGTTTTATCCCTACGAAGTGCCTCTGAAATCTGTTCACATACGACTGGTTATGTTTCGTCATTAGATAAGACTAGTTTTTTATACCGTTACTACGTTTTCAACAGAGGCGAATGGAAAGGAAGGCCAAGTTCCGAAATACGTTTCATTTATGTATCGACAAATAATGTGCCGTTGTAGCTACTGATGCTGTTGTCTAAAATAGAGTATTTAAGTAACAATTCATATTGCTCTGAACAGCAGGAAGTTACTTAACTATCCAAGTACATATTTGTCAGTTGATATAATTGCGTCATATTGTGAATTAAAATTTAATTATTCGTGTTTTTTTCCCCGTCTAATCACAATTGTATATAAATAAAATTATATATAAGATATTAAAATATCATTTACATATTTGGTATAACTTTTTACTACATGTAATTAAGTTTTAGTGTATAAGATTATAATTTTAACTTTTAACTTTACACCTGAAGATGGTTCAATGTAACCGAAACATGTAGTAAAAAGTTGTACCAAATATGTAAATGATATTTTAATATCTTATGTATAATTTTATTTATATACAATTGTGATTAGACGGAAAAAACACGAATAATTAAAGAAAAACACGAATAATTACATATTTGTCATGCGATAAGCCATTTTTAAAAACTGCTCGTTGTAATGCATCTAATTTTATTTCTGTGCGTTTCTACTGACTTGTGTGTGTGAAAAGCCTTCAAAACACCCCCCCCCCAACTCTCCCATATTTTGCAATGCACGTCTGAGTAAGCCATTCCAATAATCACCACTGCAAAAATCCGACATAAATGCAAATCGTGTGAAAAAAATATCTCATTTATTTATTCTCTTTTCAGACGAGTGGGAAAGAAATAGAAACAAGAATGTGATGTACTTCGTATTCATAAAAGGTTTGACCCGATTATGTCAAGGGTATTCTCATCAAATGTTCGTGCAGGGACAAACCACGTGGTACTGACAATTTTCATTTAGCACCCGTTGGGCACAGTCACTGTTGTTCACACTCCAGCAAATGTTTCTCGCGCGTTGAAATAGCTAGCGGATATGCGTATGTTGTATTCCAAAACATAAATTTCTTAGTTATTTAATAACGGAATGCGTCCGTTAAATTCGTGTTTGCCTCCCCGTCTAAGCAACAGGCACGACGCTGTCTGTGCGGCAATGGACACACAATGATTCTGGTTCTTCGCAGGATTTTCTTCAAAATGGGGAAAATAAACTCCGTTTCATGTTCACGTAATAAAAAACTTCATGGAGCAGACTTATTCAAGAAGCTAACAATCCCTCAGTTGGTCAAGAAAGTCCTCGCCTCGACCCAAAGGTAAACTACCGTTCACAAGACCCCGCCGTCTGATCAAAATCCAGATGAATCCAATTTCATTCACACACCTTCTTCGTTTAACTTTATAACTAACTCAATGGAGCAGTCACTCTGCTCAGCTAGTCAAGAAATATCCCGTCTTTTATGGAAACAGAAGGTTCATGACTGTGTACACAAGGCTCACCACCGGTCACCGGGCAATATGAATCAAATCCACGCCCCAAACCCTATTTATCAAAGATCCATTTTAATATTATCCAACACCCACGCCTGAGACTTCAGAATGGGCCTTCCGAATCAAAATTCTATATTAATTTATCATCGTCCCATGCACAGTACATGCCCCGCACATATCCATAATTCGATTATTCCTATTTCTTTAAAAGATACATTTTAATATTATTCTGCCATCTGTGCCTAGGTCGTTCACGTTGCCTCTTGTCATCCGTCAGGTTTTATTTTTAACCTCTTCTGAAATTTTCAATTTTAACAAAACACAAGTCGCAGATTCGTAACAAAATTACTGTTACCTCACTTCAATATTTTAAAAGGCTGTAATATTGTAGGCATAATCGTTCAGAGTAGCGGTTTTAAAATTCGGCTTCCGGGTGTTCAGTTTAAAACGCAGATCCGTTTGTGGAGACGCACCAGACGAAAGTTGCACATAACTTTCGTTTTGTAATCGCAATTTGGCAAGCATTTAACGATGTACACATAAAAATTTAATTCAACTTGCGTGCAGAAAAAATAGTATTGTGACAGGATTTAGTTACGTAAGAGGCATACCTGAGTCAGAAGTTGCATGAACAGCACAGCAGACTAACGAACGAACATATATAGCAAAACGTAGTTTCTGCTAAAGTACGCAGAAGTTAAGTTTGTCCCTGTGACGTATGCGGCCCAGGAAGTCATGTGCTGCACTACTAGCAGACCGAAAAACGTCGTGCTTGTTCTAATTTCATGTAAACTTTACTGACTATTCTTTAAAATACTGGACGTTATAAAATAGCCACTTTGTAATAAAACAATTTTTTTTAAAAAAATATATACTACGAACAGCGGAAAGCAACAAAGACGCGTGAGAAATATCTTCGTACTAAACTCGCATTACGGGTATTACGCATGCGCACAACTTCACTTACCTACCAGATTGCCCACATCACAGGGGCTTTCTTAAATTTCGCATACAGTTCATGGCATTCTCCAACATCTCAGGCAAGATCTCAACTAGATCCGGACACAGTCGAATAGAAGATTTATCAGCGTGACTTGAAGTTAAGTTTGTTACATTACCGCGTCTTGTTTTAAACATAAAGAAAAATAATAAGGCTTCAGCTTATGCAATAAAAGCTGACCTTGATATTTAGTTACTGTCGGCAGCGTGCATTGTGATTTTCTGGGTTCTAACGCCATGTAATCTTGCAGGCGATTACTGACGTTTCGGAGGAAGTTATCGTCTCAGTCTTTCACCGCCGTGAACATCTCCTCATATACCATGGCGCAGTCACAAAATCATCACTGCAAATACAACCCTGCCGTTACAAAGATCAAACAGCATAAGTCAAAAATTATTCACCATATCGAAAATATTTTCGATGAGGTGTAGGCCTACTTTTATGCATGCGGCAGTTTTATGATGAATATTTTCTCGATGAAATGCATAAATTTCGATTCGAGCTTTATGTAAAATAGCGGTTACATTGGACATATACGAAAATTAAATTTGCTTAAAAGCAAATACCAAATTTAACCTTTTCAAGACCCATAGTAACTACCTGCATTAACTTTGTATAACTGTACATTTTGCCCACCGAGTGTATGGCTCTCGGAACAAACAGCGATTACTGATCAACTGATATTTTTAATGGAGAAAAGTTTTCTTTTCGGTAGGAACTGAATCTTGTAATATTATGTAGACGATCTTCGGCTTCAAGTGGTAAACGAAGTACGTTCAGTACACTCAGAGATGAAACGTGTGAACAAAAATCAGGGTCTCGTGTTATGCACTGTGCTCAAAAACGCAGATATAAAACAGCTCCTAAATGTCTTTGCGGGTACTGAGGCCATATCCTGACAGTTGCCCCGTCATGGGGGGAACCTTTCGCGAAACAGTAACGTTACTCGTTTTCACATCTCGACGACGACGACACTGAGGATGAAGGAGCGCTGTTCTCGTGCTGACAAAGTTGTTAATCTCTGTCTTCCTGCTGTTCGCTGACCGGAGACATTTTTTGATACGACGGTTTCTATTGTTGCAACAGGTCAGGGATGCACAAACGTAGGTGAACTTGTATCATACTACACGGCACTACAACCCAGAAGACAGCCATCTTTACCTGAATACCTTTCGCCGATGTTCGTTAATGTTGTCTAATGAGTCAGAAAACTTCAAGTGCGCAAGAGAACAGAACTACAACTTGAATGCGGTTAAAGATGGCATTTCTACGCAACTCTTTGCTTATATAAAAGAATCTACGTCCTAAAACGTCCATGAACATAACGGATTGCTCAGTCATATTGTCATTCTTATGAATGGTGGACACCCCTGTCAAGGGAAATCTGTCCTCTCACTTAATCCTCTTCTATGCTGATTGGCTGTTGCATGCGCACTCTGGGCAATGGTCGTCTACATCCCATTTGTGACACATTAATTATAAGTATTCCTGACTATCCACCAACACGATGCAACCAAGCACGCGGCTGTAAGACTGCAGGTTCAACGGCCGTCACTACACAACCACGTGAGGAAGTGCGTCGCACCTAATTAGCATTGAATCACTCTCACGTTGGTCCGCAACACCATGACGAAAGCCATGAAACAGAAGTGTTATATTCATCTGCCAGCACAACGAGAAAGGAGTAAAGTCCAGAAAAATAACACTTGAAATATGATCGTTGCTTTCTATATGTATCATACTGACTGTAATTTAGCTATCACTTCATGTTCATGTCATGTGTAATCAAATCAATGAAAATTTTTCAAATACATAGTAGGCCATTCTGTGTTACGCAAGGCGTGCTTTTCCTTCTGTTATGTGATAGAATTCTGTTCGATCATAGAGAACCACAGAGAACTCCTTTCCCACGTGCATGATTTTTGTTCACTCCGCTTTGGTTTGCTAGCCGAACGTCAGGTTTAGAAGCCAGAGGCAACCCCAGTATTGAAGGGCATGCCTCAGGTTCCGTACCATGTGACCACGTGACCTCAAGACATGGTCACGACTTTGCTTTCTGTTTTGCGCAATTCCGATTCGACCAGCATCACAAGGAACTTGTTCCCGAGGAAGCCAGCCACGCGGCTTACTCATCGCCCTGATGATGAAGGCAGCAAGGACGTCTGAAACGTCGGTAAACTTATACCAGACTACACGGCGCAATAACCCACGAACAGGCATCTTCATCAGATGAGTTGTTTTTGAACCAATAAAACAGTACTTTTCAAGAGAATCGACAGAGTGCGTTTGCCTGCTTTCTTCAGCGCTTGCATGCGAATCAGACTACGAGCGTTAACTTATCAACAAGGACGAGATCGGCATTGCCTTGGCAGTAGATACAGCGTAATTAAGTGACATAACAAATAGGCACTTTAAAGTAAACAAGCTGCAACAAGTTGGACGGACACTTTGAAGTGGAGTGTTCCCAGCCAAGACATACAAAGAACGCAAGAGCTGCATACATTATCCTGTGTAGAAATCCGTAATTTGTATCATTCATTCACCACACTCACACGCGCAGAGTTAGGAAGAAATACCCGTAACCTGTGCCCCCTATACCAGCCTTTGAATGAATAAAAATAAGTCTGTCGAAAGGCCAGTTCATTTCAACTTACCCTTAGCCCATGTTTCTTGTATTACGGCTAACGGACGGCGGACGGAAGAACACACTGCAAATTGTTCTCTTAGGAAAAGTGGACGGAAGAGACGCGAAGTAAGCTGGAAATGAGGGTAATTGTACAACTAACTTCGTAACTTGCATTTCTTTCTGTTAAGTGTTGTGGTACAACATCCTTCACGTAACAAGCGACAATGGGTGCGGATTATACACCTAATACTGAATATTTATTCACCCTCAGTGTGGAGCTACGACTGGATATCATGCGTAGTAAAGTTTTTAAAATATTTTAATCTTTAATTAAAAACTAGCTGCTTATATGACGATACAACGATGACGAGTGTGGGTTGCTATATTTTATTATTTACTTTCTAAATATAATTTCACAAACACTTGATATTCAACATAAAAGAGTTGTTTACGAGGATAGTCTCAGGCCCGAAGATAGATTAATTAAGTCTGAAACAAGTCGCATAGTAAAGTAAACGTCAAGAAACGTGGTAAATGACTGCACAGATATACAATATATTTGTTATGTGAAGACAGTCACTTAATAATAGTAATGTCCACAATCATGACACCTTAAAATATTTGAGTGGAATTCGTAAAGTTCTCTACTGCACTGATGTCTAGTCATACAGATCGTATGTTGTTAATATTATATTTCGTTAATGTAAGTTAATATGTAATACAGCGAGAAGATATAAACCAGATCTCGTAAGTTAGCGTTCTGGGTTTGTGACCATCCAACCACAATCACAGTCAGATCAAATTTTCCATTATTGCTTACAATTATAAATATGTTATAGAATGTTACTAGACCCATTACTATTGGGGTTTATTATATTTTTTGGAAAAACTTATAAATGTTCTTTGTTAAATTATAAAGCATTTTCCGGAGTTCCTACACACAACACCAGGACTTACCGTAAAAGACAGTACACCCGACCACCACAGACGCCCCAGTATCTTTAGTTCCCTGTGTGTGTAAACAAACGTTACACTGACATGAGACAAGGACAGATGGTACCTGCCTCTCAACAGCTATCCATTGTTCCCCACCTTGTCAGTGGAGCACTCCCCTCTAATTAATAATCACTCAGACCGCCATTACTTCACAGGTCGCAGCAACTGCCGACAGCGCCACAGGTAGAAACACAGTGAAGCGACAAACAACAAGCGACAACACCGAGGAAATTAACGGCGGTCTACAACCTGGCAAAAATGAGGGTGGCAAAGTAGCGGTCGGCCAGATATCACACGCAGCAATGACGCTAAAAAGGCAACGCCAGTGGCGGCGCCAGTCGTCACACACTGCAAACAATGCGGTGTCGGCGTCACAGCGTCTGGAGCAGCACTGGACTAGTTGAAGCAGTAAGTTTTGTGAATATGCCCTAGCTGAGGTAGATCTATCTATACAACGCTTATGCATGTCTGTTCAGTTTTGTGTGTCTGTCATTTGAGCTATCGTCATTATTAAACGTGGTTCCTTCACATCACTTGGTTTCCGGGGCAGAGCATTCATGTTAACCGCGTTGGCTGCGTAACACCGGCTGACACTTTTAAAAACAAAAACACGATGTCTTCTGAGTTACTTTCGTCCGTACGCTGGAACGCAGCAGAACTGATCAGAAGAAATGAATCGTTAGCCAGATCCAGTTAACCCGGCGTTGTGGCGTTGTTACGCTCGTCGGGAGCGTCTCAACTAGCTGGCTAACAAAGCAGAAAGCCAAATGATATCAATGCCACCCATGTTTTATTGGGTACGTTATTTTCAGTTTACGAGTTGTTTTAGTATGTCTGCTGGTTCAATCAAAAACTGTAATGAACCTTCATACTACTGTCTTTTACTTAGAGTATGAACATGGCCGACTTCTGTGTCGAGGCGCCGTGTGGTCGTCGGTAAACTTCTGCCAGACTAAACGGCGCTACAGCCCAGAAGACAGCCATCTTAAAAATTCATTCGCACTTTTTCAACTCAAAACAAACCGCCCTCACAGAAACATTTGCCGTTTCCATATCGAGAAGTGTCGATGCAGCGAATTTCGTTGCATTTATAAGGACACGGGTCTCCGTTCTCCACTGTGAGTGCACAGAAAGTTTCGTTTCGGGGGTGGTAGGGAACCGT